ACGATGGTCTTGTGCCATAAATGTTAGACATCAAAGAAAAATAGGAAGTGGTTAGAACTTCTAAAAGGGTGAGTCTCAATATTAGTTTTCTAAGATGGTCAATAGGAACTCTTAGAGTAGATCCTAGGATACTACGGAAAAGAGTAATGACCTCAAGAAATGACCACAAAAATGAGGTCAACAATGATATAACTCTTATTGGTCAGTATGCCTGATGATGAAAGGGAGGTTCTCAAGATTAAAAAAGTGTTGGCCACTGAGTTTGAACTGAAAGACCTTGGAACCATGAGATATTTTTTTAAGTGTAGAGGTAGCAAGGTCTAAGAGAGGCATTGCTATATCACAAAGGAAATACATCATAGATCTATTAAAGGAGACATAGATGATTGGATGCAAGCCAGTTGATACTCCAATGGATCCCAACAAGAATTCTAATAGGGGAGAGGAAAGTATATTTGTGGATAAGGGAAGATACTAAAGATTGGTAAGAAAATTCATTTATTTGTCACATATGAGACCAAATATTGCATATTCTGTCAGCATTGTGAGCTAACACATGAATAACCCAAATGAAGAGCATTTGGAGATGGTGCACAGGATTCTAAAGTTTCTCAAAAAGGTTCCCGATTATAGATTAATTTTTTATAAAATTAAAAACAAAGAGGTAGACATCTATGTTGATGCAAATTGAGTTGGGGAACTTACTGATAGAAGGTCAACTACATGTTATTGTTCTTATGTATGTGAAAATCTGGTTACATGAAGAAGTAAGAAATAAGTTGTTTCTAGAAGCAGTGATGAATCAGAGTATAGGGCATTCACCTTAGAAATCTATGAAGCAATATGGATTTAAAATTATTAAAGGAATTGTGGTGTACTTCCAATAGGTCTATATAGATGTTTTGTGATAGTGAAGCACCCATTAATTTTACCAAGAATCTAATGCATCATGATCGGACCAAATATGTTGAAGTTGATAGACACTTTTTATCTGAAAATGTCAATGATCGAATTATACAAGTTATTTACTTCACACACAAGCTAGTTATTGATGTATTCACCAAAACTCTTCCTTCAAAGCATTTTCTCAAAGTTCAATACCAAGTTTTGCCTCTACATATCTGTCCCAGCTTGTGGTGGAGTGTTGGAAGCTGAGAAGTTTGGCTCCTCTCCATGATGGGTCGGCCGACTGCTTTACAAAATCATGGAAACATTTGATAAGAGATATCTTTGGAAACATCTTCCTTAGTTTAATTCCATTCCTATTTTATGTTTTTTTAATTATTTTTAAATTATTTTCTTTCCTAATTTAGACTAGATATATTTGATAAGTTTGTAAATAAGGAGGGATTGATTTCTTTATATATATGTACCCTATTTGTAAATAATGAACCCAAATAATTTTCGAGTCTGGTTCGAATTAAAGATCATGCTCGTTTAAGGCAGGGAGAGGGCCCAAACATGACATCCTGCTCACAACAATACCACAAGGGATTCCACAATTAGAAAATACTGAAAAGTACATTAGACACATAAAGAAAAAGCCTAAAAATGCAGAAATACATAGTATCAGGTAGCTAAAGAGCAACCCAATTTGGTTTTGTCTGTCTCTGGTTCTCTAGTTTTAGGAAAGGAGTCAGCTAACAAATTGGTAAGATGAGTGTCATTGTCAGTAGTAACCGAGCCGGAGTCGACCTCCATTCTTCTTCTTCCTCCTGGAATAGACCTTCCATTCCTCTTCCGAATATTAGCTCACCTGATCTTGGTCTAAAGTGTGTTGAAGATGTGCAGATTGTTGGACATTAGAAGCAACTACATGTTGTACCAGTTGATCTGTTATTAGATCAAAGGAGCACCCTCGTGTGTCTTGGCATGTGAGTGAGTCTTTTTCAATAACAATGGGTGGTATAAGCACAACTGGATCTGAAGCTGTAGTATGTTGTTCTTCTTCAGGAACTGCGGTGTTGGGAAAAGGATCGTGTTGTATCTTTTCAACAGCGATAGTAGGTGGTTGTTTTTTAGCGATATTCAACCTTAGATCATGATGCAAATGATAGCAAATAGTAGAGCTGTGGACAAACATACTACAATGAGAGCAATAAGGAGGATGTGGTTCCATTTCAACCTTTTGTCAATACGCGTTGTGCATAATGTCAATTCATATCTCATCCGGAGCTAGTTGAGTGATATTTCTCTCAACTAACACGCAAGCCACAGAGGGTCTAGTGACAACAAATGTAGGACTATCCACCTTGAGAGGTTTACCGTAAGTAGTTGCTAAAGAGTAGAGGATTTCCATGTTGAACAGATGTAATTTTAACCCTGTAAATTTTATCCAAATAAGAATGATAGGGGACTCTGCTTTTGGATCAAAACCGACAATCCACTTCAGAATTTTCATAAAATGATTGTCAATCTTGATAGTTTTTCGAGAGAAAATGCGAGTGTAATCAACATCATGAGATAGTTGAATAAGTACATGTTTACCGTCAAGTAGGCCAATGTTCCAACTGCCCAATAGTTTCATAGTATCAAACTCCTTCCTAATGATCTCCAGTTTTGGGTGACCATAAAAGAATTTTCCCACTAGAGAGAAACGCCAAGAGGACGTGAGAGTACCGGTTTCAACCTCTGTGAGAATAAGTGCAGATTTCCCATTTTTTTTCAAGTTTTTTAATAAAAGTATAATCACCTCCACCTTCAAGAGCCTCATGGAAAGATTCTGGAATATTGCAGGACTTATTGATAGCAAAATCAGACGTTGAACCTGGAGGAGGGGCACGAGCAGGAAAGTCGTTGGCAAGAGCATTTGCATAGGAACGGAGCGTCGAGACCATCTCCCTCACAAGACAGGAGAGAAATAGTCTGGCGGGCGGGAAGCAAGCAGACAAGCTAACAGGAAACCTTCTGCCGAGCAGGAAGCAAGCAAAAGGCGCGCCCTTCTACGAACAGGAGCGAACCGCAGACAGGGACCGCAGATGAAACTGGAGCTCGAAAAGGGAAACAGCGCCGAAGCCCTTCGTCCTATGGCGTGAAAGGGAAGACGACGAACACAGAGCCCTTCGTCGTCATCGTGGAGTGCGGGAAGTTCGCCGTCGAGCACCAGAGAAAAGATTGACGACCGAAGGAATCAAACCAGGGTTTCGCCATCGGGCGAAACCCTAGCAGAGCAGATGGTGACCGACATTTTTGATCTATCATGATATATATATTTATTTATATACATGCAATCTACGTGCGAATAATGAAAATAAGAAAATTTTCCTCCCAATGTATATATATATCATGTTATTTATGTGCGAATAATGAAAATAAGAAAATTTTCCTCCCAAAGTTTGTTTTCTACAAAACCTATGCATGAAAATGTGTATTTCGCTTTTAAAAAGTTGTTAGTATTTTTGATGTGATATTAAAGATTTGAGTGTCATGTGTGTAAATATGGAAGTTTAGATGCGAGATCTGTAAATACAGAAGAATTGTGTGCTATGTATGTAACCTTATTTTTATTAGGAATAAGCTGAATTTATTTTGGATATCATTCTCTGGGGCTGAAAGGGATTCCTTTGTACATATATGCACAACTGTGGCAGGTGGTATTGATCCGCACACGCACATGGAGATGGATTTCATGGGGACTGTGACAATAGATGATTTTTATACTGGCCAAGCAGCTGCACTGGCAGGAGGAACAACAATGCATATTGACTTTGTTATTCCAATTAATGGGAATTTATCTGCTGGTTTTGCATCATACGTGGAAAAAGCCAAAAAGTCTGTTATGGATTATGGTTTTCATATGGCCATAACCAAGTGGGATGAAGCGGTTTCCAAGGAAATGGAACTCATGGTTAAAGAGAATGGTTAGAACATTCTTCTTGTTGGCATTTTTTTTTTCAGTTTATATTGAATAGTAAAAAGTGTTAAAATGATCCCCTTACTCTTTTAAGGGAGTCAATTTAGTCCCGGAGTTTCCAAATATCAATTTAGTCCCCATATTTTTTATAAAAAGGTTGAAATGGTCCTCAATGAGAGCTTTTAAGCCACCATTAAAATAGTTTGAGGACTAATTTAGCACTTTTATGAACTCTGGGATCAAAATGATCCCATTTAAATAGTCAAGGGGCTATTTTGACACTTTTCTCATATTCACTAGTTTGATTTTGATTAGATTCAATTCTAATTAACCTGCTTATTTTTTCTTGATGGATTTGTCTTTTAACTTCATTTTCTCAAACATATGTGTAGGGATCAACTCTTTCAAATTCTTTATGGCATACAAAGGATCATTGATGATCAATGATGAGCTTTTACTTAAAGGCCTTGAAAAGTGCAAGTCTCTTGGTGCACTAGCCATGGTCCATGCAGAAAATGGAGATGCTGTTGCTGAAGGGCAGAGGAGGATAATTGACCTTGGAATAACGGGTCCGGAGGGGCATGCACTTTCGAGGCCTCCTGTGGTAATGCATTGAAGCACATATCTATTTTACTTTCTACCTTTTGATTTTTCCTGATTGTTTTGTTAATTTTGAAAGACCTTTGTCTCCATCCAAGAGTGAGTTTTTTATTTCGAAGATGCAAAATGTCACATATGCATTTAAATTTTTTATAGAAATGAGTTTTAGGACATAATTGTCTTTTCCAATTCCTTTTGTTTTTATTTAATCTGCTCCAATTGCATGGTATGTACACCTCCCAGTGATTGATATTGTTTTTTTTTCTGACCGATAATGCAAAAACAAACATATTTCATATTTTAGATTCTGATATGAAACTATTGTTCTTTAGCTCGTTGTCTCTTTCCTTAGAAGCATTGGCAGAAACACTAATTGTAGTCATTCTCAGGGGTTTCTTTTTCTGAACTGTTCAAGAATGTGGTACGCCTCGGAACCAAAATCAACAACAAACTACGACAAGGTGGCAATAGATAAATGGAAAAACACAAAGGTTGCTCTTACAAAAATCAAAAAGATATCAAGCAAGATACAAGTGGATCTACTTTTTGAGAGATACATCATCTCTCTCACACTCTACACGTCGCCAGGAACACCCACACGAAGAAAGAAAACCACAGCCAAACAAAAACATGCATAAAAGAAAACAAACCCTAGGTTCCCCTCTTAAGAGAATCATCATACAACTTTTGAAAACTTTCCTTCTAAATTTTCCTCCAAACTCCCCTCAATTTCTCCTCCTTTAGTATGTGATTATGACCCTAGCGGGCCCCACCAGCTTCTTTCATTCCTCTGCCGCTGCGTGGGGTCACTTAACTGTTTCCTGTGAAGAGGATCGGCCCGTCTGTGGAGGGGGCAAGCCGATTGGAAGGCTTTCGACTGGTCCCTCCTAGAACGGTCGTGATATGGGCGTAACAATACTCCCCTCTCAAAGAAGTACCTTTTAATCAATGTGGAAAGATGAAAACTACTTGTAGATCACGTCGTAAGGCTCCTATGTTACTTCATAGTCTGACAATCTTTTCCACTTAACCAAGGCCTCCTTTTCTCCCCCTACTCCTCGATGCACTCCTTCGATCTCTAGCGGCTCCAGAATCACCTCCAAGTCCTCCGTAAACTCTACAATAGTGTAAACGAGGGTCTATGATCCTTAATTGCGCGTCTCAGTTGTGATACATGGAAGACCGGGTGTAGTGCGGATGATGGTGGTATCATCACCTCATAAGGTCTGAAGTATATCGGTGAAAGTTTCTCGCTCCTCCTCCTAGCCAGTGTCTTCTGTCTGTAGGGCTTCAGTTTCAAGTAGACCATTTCCTCTTGTTAGAATTGCACCTCTTTTCTATGTCTATCCGCTTTCCTCTTCATGATTTGTTGAGCCCTTAGAAGATGTCTTTTGAGCTTTGCTAATATCTTGTTCCTCTCCTCCAAGTACTGATCAATACTTGATACCAGTATAGTGTTATGCCCATAATGTATCAAGTGATGTGGTTCTTGCCCATACAAATTTTATACCAATATTCAACCCATGTAATCCACTTAGCCCATAACTTCAGTGTATCATATACAAAATAATGCAGGTATGTCTCCACACTTCTGTTGACCGCCTCCGTCTGTCCATCAGTATGGGGAATGATATACGGTGCTCCTTTTAAGGACTGCCCCTTGCAACATAAATAGCTCTTTCTAGAATTGGTTGAGGAACATCTTGTCCCTATCTGATACAATTGATTCCAGCACCCCATGCAAATGGACCACTTTCCGGATAAACATCGATGCGACTGAGACCGCAGTGTAGGGTTGTCGTAAGGGAATGAAATGTGCATACTTAAGTGATCCACAACCACCATAATCAACGTGAACTCTTCTGACCGTGGCAACCCATCGATAAAATCCATCGTCACTTCTTCACAAACCATCTTCGGCAATGTTAATGGTTGTAGTAACCTCCCTGAGGTTGTGGTTAAGTACTTGTGACACTGACACACATCACATTTTGCCACTATGTCCTCCACATTTCTGCGCATCCACTCAATAATGCTCTGCCTCCATACGACTGTAGATCTTCTGCACCCCTGAATGTCCCTTGATCGCACTTCCATGAAACTCTTGTAATAATCTGGGAATATACTTCGACAACTTGGGTAACATGAATTGCTCCTAGTGAAGGAGTTGTTGCCCCCTCAATGCATATTCTGGATGACTGTTCGGATCCTGTAGTAATTCATCACCCTTACTTTCCTCAGCTCCTCATTCTTTTAGCTTTCTTGTCTCAAGGCATCCCAATCTAGGACCAAGGGTACTGATAGGGCCGTCAATTTGGATTCCTCCACCGTTCTCGACAGTGCGTCAGCTGCCTTGTTCTCCAATTCTGATCGATACTGAATCTCAAAATTATACCCCAGTAGCTTGGAAAGTCATCTCTGATGCTCCTCAGTCACCATCCACTGCTCCAGAAGATACTTTAAACTCTTGTCCTGATCAAGAAATGTCATCTTAACAAGTAGGGCCGCCATTTATGAATAGCCAAGACAATTGCCACCAATTCTCGTTCATATATTGGCTTTAGCCTCACTCTGGCTGTAAGAACCTGGCTGAAGTAGGTAATTGGCCACTGATCGTGCATGAGCACTACTCTCAATCGATATCTTGACTCATCCGCCTCCACCAATAATGATTTACTGAAATCTGGAAGTGCTAATACCGACACACTAGTCATGACCCTCTTCAGTTGTTCAAAGATCTGTGTTGATGCTTCTCCACATTTGAAATTGTCTTTCTTCAACTGCTATGTTAGTGACCTTATTATCGTGTCATATCCTCTTACTAACTTCCGGTAGTAGCCGGTGAGACCCAGGAATCCTCAAAGTTCATTCAAATTCTTTGGTAAGGGCCAATCAACCATAGTCTCAATCTTGGATTGATCCACCGTTACGCCTGTTTCAACACCACATGTCCTAGGTACTTTATCTGCAGCTGTGCAAAATAATATTTCTTTGTGTTAGCAAACGACTGATGCTCTCTTGACGTCTCCAGGACTGTTCTTAGATGCTCCACATGCTCCATCTCTGTACGGTCATAGACTAGAATGTCATCAAAGTAAACCAAGATAAATTTCCAAAGATACGGTTGAAAACCCTATTCATGAGCGACTGAAATATTGTCGGAGTGTTGTTGAAGCCAAACGACATTACTAAGAACTTATGTAATGTTCTTCATGTGTCCTGAAGGCTATTTTGTGTGCATCCGCTGGATTCATCTTAATTTGGCAATAACCCGACTTAAGCTCAATTTTTTAGAACATGTGCCCCATAAAGCTCATCCAATAACTCATCAATTACATAAATAAGAAACTTGTCTAGCACCATTTCATTGTTACACCGTCTTGTTCAGAGTCGGGAGTCCACGCAGAATCTTCAACTACATCTTTTTTCTTCACCAACAGTACGAGACTGGAAAAATGGCTCACACTAAGCCTGATGATACTCGCCTCGAGCATCTCTCGGATCAACTTCTCGATCTCATTCTTCTGAATTTGGCGGTATTGATATATTCTGACACTGATGGGGGAAACACCCTCCTTCAATGTAATAGTGTGTTCATGCTCCATCAGAGGAGGTAATCCACTTGGCTGTCGGAAGACATTCGTAAACTATTGTAGGAGCTACTCAACTCTGAATCACGAATCTCCTCAATGCTCTGTAACTTCACCAAGTAACCCAGATTCGACTTGACCATGGTTTTGCATAAGCTAGCATCTCCTCTCAGCACCGTCTTCCTACCCTTCACTTGGAACTCCATCGTCAAGGACTTACAATCCATTTTCATCTCTTCCAATGTTTGCAGCCACTTTATCCTCAAAATCACATTTGTGACGTCCAAATATAAAGGAAGTCTTCTACCACTTATAGGCCATGTAGTGTCAAAATAATTCCCTTGTAAATTCTCCAATTATTCTCCACCTTTCCCGTCCATAATGATGTTGAAGCTCCCTATAGGCGCCAGTTTCAACCCTAGCTTCTCCATAACGTGATTTGAGATTAAGTTATGTGTAGCCCCGCTATCCACCAACACCACCACTGGTTGTTCCCCGATCCATCTCCTCACATTCATGGTGTGATTCGAGGTAAATCCCACCACCGATTTGTGGGGTACCTCCGCCACATCCAAATGCAGATGCTCCTCTATCGCTTCCTCTCTGATTCCTCACTCTTTGTATTCTCTTCCTAAACTAAAAGAACCTGAAGGGCACACTTATTACAACAATGTCCTGGGGCGTATTTCTCGTCACAACGGTAGCACAATTCTTTGGCTTTTTTGTCTTGTACTTCTGCATTTGCGAGACGCTTAAAATTACCTCTGGACCGAGGTCATGTACTCTTAATACTTTGGCGTCTCTTTCTGAAATGACACCGTTTGGGTCCTTGGAGTTGTGGCTGTCACTGTGCTTTTGTAGAATCCTCTGGTGATGTCGCCTTTGCTAGTCTTCTTCACCTATTTCTTAACCTCCATCATCTGAGCGAGCTTCATCATTTTCCTCAATCCTTCCGGTCTCAAGGGGCGGATGGCTACTCGTATGTCGGGTTTTAGGTCTTTCAAGAAGTTCCCTTTCAGTCCTACGATAGAAATCCCCCTCAACCTCCCTGACAAGAGCTTGAACTTCTCTCGGTATTTCATAACCGTCCCCTTCTGAGTCAAAGTATATAATTGCTCGTGTAGGTGTCCTTTCCCAAGTGACTCAGAAATGCTCCAACTAACAATCATTAAACTCTTCTCATGAGTGAATCGGATAAATTGCGTCCATCCACTGAAACCGCGCTAAAACCTTTTCCTCTAAAGCATAATCTCGCTGCCATGAGCTTCTCTTCATCAGTCAATCCGTTGATTGCAAAGTATCGCTCCACCCGATACACCCATCGATGTGTATCCTCCCCTTCGTAGATTTCTTCAGTTTTCTTGACCCTAGCATCTCCACCCCAACTTTCTCTCCCTCTGGAATTCCCCCCCATGTATCTAGGTTGAAACTCCCTCCTGTGGTCACAGGCATATCCCACTCCCGATTCCCTCCTTCCTCCATACTCTTTTATGCCCCTTCCACCATCCCTTCTCCAATTTTCAGCCCATCCCCCTCTTCTCGGAGTCCTAGGGGGATGCTCTTGTAGGTGGATGATGTCTTCTTCGTTATTTTCTCGCTCAATCTCCTTCCCTTTTGACCTATCTAAGGATACTCTTAATTAGAGTTTGCATGAAGCGGTCAGCACGGCCTTACATTGCATCTTCATGAGTTTTCTCATCATCTCCCTCGTTTCTACTATGCCTTCAAATCCATCATTCATTCTACTTTTAATAGAAAAAATCGGTCCTCTATGGTAGTGAACCTTTTTTCCATTCCATGATCACATTTACTCTACCTCTCTTTCTAGCACATCAACTTTATATGCCGTCATACCACCAAGATCTATGCTCTGATATCAATTTGATACGCCTCGGAACCAAAATTAGCAAACAAACTACTGTCAAACGGCAATTGATAGGTGAAAAAATGCAAACAAAGGCCGCTCTTGCGAAAATCAAAGTAAAACAAGCAAGATATAAGGTGAATCTACTTTTTGAGAGATATATCGTCTCTCCCACACCTTAGACGTCTCTATGAACACCGCATGAAGAAAGAAAGTCACAGCAAAAAAAAAAACATGCATAAAAGAAAACAAACCCTAGTTTCCCCCTTTAACAGAATCCTCATATAGCATTTGAAAACTTTCCTTCTAAACTTCTCTCCATACTCTCCTCTATTTCACCTCCATGAGTACGTAATTATGGCCTAGTAGGGCCCACCTAATCCTTTCCTTCCTCTGCCGTTGCTTGGGGTTGTTCAGCTTTTTCCAGAAAAGAGGATCGACCCATCAGCGGAGGGGTCGGGCCAATTGGGAGGCTTTCGACCGGTCATTATATGGGCGTAACAAAATGTTTTTGTAACAATGCAATGTTTTCTTCCCTAATATGTTCTGTTTGTGAATACTTTCAATTAAGCAGATAAACTAGCTTTCAATTAACTTAACTTTGTTTATTACAATACAGTGGCATTGGTTCCCAACATTTGAAAATTTTTATGCCTTTGAAATATTTAAGAAAATTACAGGTTTACACTGGTAGTTTCTAGAAAAGCTTAATGGGAGCCTCCACTCTTTCATTCGACTGTCATAGAATAACTTTACAGTGAAACAAAATAAATAAATCCAATGGGGTCAAGAGAAACTAACTAAACCGCGATTTATCAAACTAGCTATCATTGAATTCTTGTTTTAATTGAAATATATACTGCATTTGAAGTTTCATGCCATGCTCTTTTAGTTGGAAGGTGAAGCAACTGCCAGGGCAATTCGGTTGGCTAGCTTTATTAATGCTCCGCTATATGTTGTGCATGTGATGAGCATCGATGCCATGGAGGAAATTGCGAAAGCTAGAAAATCAGGTCACAAATTCTTCCTTGGAAGATTACTTTATTTCTTGCACGCTAAATTTATACTATGATGTATTTTTGTGACATTACATTGAGACTTTCTATAACAATATCTTTATTTATTTTAAAGCTAACTGTTGGGGCCTATGCTCATTGCTTGGTTATGTTGCTGATTGTCATAGAAGTCTGCGATGCGATCAAAATGTTGTTTAAAATAACAAAATGGAATTAGTGATTATGAATCCAGAGTCCAGACAATTAAATGCTCGTAGCCATTGAATGCCAAATACTTTGTACTTTTCATCTGTGCTTAACCACTGAAATTATCATCATTTAAAATGAACAGATCTCGGGTGGAGAATTGCTCAATTAATTCACATTGAAGAACATTGGTATGGAGCACCTAGGATTGCATCACTACTCCCAGTTCTATAGTGACTTGCCACAGAGAGCCCTATAAATGAACTATTGATGTATCCTCCTGTAATTTTTTTTTTTTGTAAGAATAGAAGCCAAGGAAATTAATGTAGAGTGGTTGAAATAATGGTGATGACGTCGTGAAAATGAGATCCAAACTGAAGTGATAGAAAGCTCCATTTCTTAATCAAAATAAGGGAACCATTTTAGCATTTGTATTGGGAGGCCGTTGATATAGTGTGAATGCTTTGAGAAGAATATGTTATAACCTGCTTCTAAAGACAACCTTATATGCTCAACAAATTACCTCTATGCTAGGACGACCCATAAAACATTTGCCAATAAGTGAAAGGGTGAAAAGTCAATCAAGACCCTAGGAGAAGTCATTGCATAATAAGTTGAGATTTGAGTTGAGACTCAAGCACACTGACAAACATGAGAGGATGTGCAAAAAATTACTACAGGTGAGAGTGAAGAGGACGGCACAACTAGGCCAACTTTGGGGGCTAGAGGGATTGAGAACAGAAGGGATACGAACTCTCAAGGTTGCATCGGCATCAATGACAACTAACAGACCCTAAGACGAATGGGGAAGCTCACACGGCACTAGAACCGCACAAGGAAGCAAAGCAACCATGTAAGTTGCCACGCCTTAAGCCGGGTCAATTCAACTATTATGATTTGTCGGCACTAAAGAGTTGGGGGAGTGAGTTGCTCGTAAGAAGCTGTCGGTCACCGGAATTGAAATCTC